CGTCCAATAAGTTTGAAAACGCACTAATTGAAGAATTCCATTGGGCGTTAATGGCGTAAAATTATGCATGTAAAGATTTGTGGTTCGATGAAAACCAATGTGATACGTGAATGGTCGGCGCATTCGAACGCGGCATGCAATAGGATCAACCTTATTTGTTATGTTGTTGTGTTGTGCCCCATCTCATCCAATTAAAAGTGCGACTCGAGATCCTTGCCTCATTGGGGGAAATTAACACCAAAAAAGTTAATGGGAGCACATTCCTTGTACGCTATTGGAAATAAAAATGATGGGAACTTTTTAGTGAGTGGTTCACAAAGCTCAAGCTATAGTGTACTTCCATTGGCTCTAACTGTCCAATGGGTGCGATCTCTGAAACACAGCTGTCGATACACTTTAGGACGATCTGGAACTTTGTTAACCGAAGCGTATTAGGGGTGTGCGTGATTACGCATGGAACTACAAACAAATCATGCATTTTCACCTTCGATGTTCAGACACCGATATGGACCGTGATAATATGGCAAGCAGTCGGGATACAATGACCCTAGTAACTTTGTAAGACACCGGAAATATGCAAACCCTCACGATTCTGGAGCAAACCTTGGCTCAGTTCATTCCTACGATAATTACCAGCCATTTAACTTGACGCACGAACATCATTCAAAGGTAGAGCGAGCCACTGACATGTATGTTGTGCGACGCAGCGACCACTTGACCTGAGAATAATAGCGTTGCGAAGGAGAATCCTCTGTCGCATGCTCTGTGGCGCAATTATGTAAAAATTTCAAATCCGGACGGAGGAGGTCTGTCGGTGACGTCAAAAAATGGGCGGTCCGCAGCGGTCGCGAGGACGAGAGGAAGTGAACAGCCAATGAGGGAAATGGAGGCTTGCGTCATCATTTTGACGTGGACTTGGGGGCCGTATAGCAAAGTGAAAAGTGTTTGTAACATGTTCAGAAGTGTTTGACTATTATGGCGCACTATTAAAATGTGTTGGCACTAGTTTTCAATTGTTTAATAAGGAATACGATACAATCCAAACGTATTTTTTTGTTATTGTTCTAAACAACGCTAAATTTAGCGGGACGATTTGTGGTGGCGCTAGGTACAACTTTGTTTCAAGCAGTTACTGTTTTCAAAACTCCACTACTAAACGGCGCAACTTTCGAAGCCGTTGGCTCAGTCGAGCGCAGTCATGGCGGAGGGCAACGGCACCGCTAGCCACCAGCAGCAGCGGCTCATCCGCGTTTCCGAGGGTCAGCGCGCGCTGGTGCTCGCCTTTATGAGCGAACATCCGCAGCTCGCGGCGAAAGCCATTGAGCTGCAGCATGGCGTCACGGTCGCCGACCGGCGGCGGCTGTGGCAAGAGCTCAGCGACGCGCTGAACCTTGAAGGCCCTGCGCAGAAAAGCGTGGATGACTGGCAGGCTTGGTGGCGCAGGCAGGTGCACGAGGCCCGCCGTGACGCCGCCGCCATCAAAGAGGCACAAACGTGAGTGACCGTTGAATGTGCGGGCGATTTGTTCTTTGACATTGGTGTATATTTCCAGGGGCACTGGAGGGGGTCGTCTGCCAGGCTTCCGGGGTCGCGTGTTGCAACTCACCGGGTTGGCACGCTTCGGTGGCGTCTTCGGTTCCCTCGAATATCAACAGGTAAGCACTCTGCCGCCGCAGTATCACGGGTTCCTGAGCGGTGCCATGACAGAGTTTGCCCATTTTGTAAGGGGTGCCTTTAGGGGAACCTTGTTGAACAGTAAGATAGTGCAGGAAAAAGAATTCAAAAGCAGGTAGGTTTGTCAACTGAAATCTCGCTTTGCAGCCCTTGCAGTAAAAGGCGTATTTATTTATCAAACAGACACGAAATGCCTGCGGGCAAGTGCATGCACTAAAATGGTAATACGTGATATCAATGACCACTGAATAGCTGCAGAACGTTTCCGCAGATGTTTAGTAGGTAAGGTTGTAAAATAGCCAGAGTAACGAATACCCTTTTTCCGAAAGATTATGCCCACGACACTTTCCAGCAGGCGGATGTTCCCGCTCCTGCAATGGAGGTCGAGCTGGAAGCCACTGAAGCGGCTGCAGCAGGTGACAGTGACACAGCCACACGTAAGCATCTGAGAACTTAGTGTTTTATTGATTATAGGACGTATGTGCGCCCAGTTCGTAAACTTTTATTCTTTACTCCACAGAAGCCCCCCCAAGTTACCTGGAAAGCGGCCCCGCTGCACCGGGTAAGTTATTGATCATCAAAGTGTTTTGAGAAAATAACCTCTCGTATGTTATTCGAATTGCCCAATTATCCACAACATGGCCATAGACTTAAAGCCTACCACAGCATGCGGTGACGAAAATGCTGCATGTTTGCAGTGCCTCAGCCTCCTGTGCGGCCTCGCCGTCAACAGAGGCCACGGCGCACCGACACCTTGTTGCGGGTGTCTTCCCAGTGCGACCAGAGCCTCGAGCTGACAGAGAAGTTGCTTGATGTGAGTAGACCGTTTGTTTAAATTTTACGTAAAGGGTGTGAACATTTTTGATGCTCTGTTATGATGACTGAAACCAACTTGGGCTGTAAATAAGAAACATGCATTGTATTGAGGGCACGGTATCTGACATCTGCAATGATAAACTGCCGGGCAAAAGGTTGGTTAGCCCTGAAAAGGGCTGTTTGATTGTAAGAGATGCATTTGAGGAGATGAATGAAGAGTAGTTCCAGCAATTGTTTGTTGATCCAAACGAAGAGGGCATAGCTTGTACACGAAGCTTCACACTTTCAAAGGATGCCACCAGGCCAATGAATTTTCAACTGAGGGGAAATTGTTGTTCACGTTGCAATTCTCCGCAGCAGCAGCTTCGAGCCACGAGATGGTCGAGAGTTCTTCAGCAGCTCATGCAAACATTTCCACCATGATGATTCACTGCAGGAGGTGCGGGGGATCAGAAGGTCAGCTTTGCACTTGACTTCTCTGGCGCGGCGTATGGTAGCAGCACTGGAACGGGCGGCCGCAGCACAGGAGCGGGCGGCCGCAGCACAGGAGCGGGCCGTGGCTGAGGGCCCTCTGCGGGAAAGAGATGCATAGTTATCTATTTTGATGTTCGATACATGCGCTTATTTTAAGTTTTGCATCATGTTTTTAATGTTTTAAATGTTTATCATGCATTATTGGTTTATTAGTTTTTATATGTTTACGTGTTGCAGTGAGCGTACCATTTCATACGTTGTTTTTTTACATTTAATACATATTACTACCTTTAAGTTAGCATTTACTTTGTACAAGGAGTACAGCATTTTTTTCTTCACATGTCTTTCATCTATTTTGATGTTCGATATATGCGTTTATTTTAAGTTTTACATCATGTTTTTAATGTTTTAAATGTTTATCATGCATTATTGGTTTATACTACCTTTAAGTTAGCATTTACTTTGTACAAGGAGTACAGCGTTTTTTTCTTCACGTGTCTTTCATCCATTTTGATGTTCGATATATGCGTTTCTCAATTTATGTTCGACCTACTCGTGAGGCAGCGTCTCCCCCCTCCCCCCACCATCTTAAAGGTGTCTAGTCATCCACACAAAGACCAAGAGCGTATAGTTGACATTTTTTGTGAATGTTTTTAGCACTGTGATATTTGTGTTGCCTCACTGTTTTCTAGCTCACTGCACTTTTTATGCAGCATTACCACATAGTGTTGGACTGTGATATTTTTTAGCCTCACACTGTTTCGCAGCTCGCTGCATTCTTTATGAAGCATGTTTACCTGCCGAAAATTGCTTACACTGTGATATTGTCATTTCAGCGCAATGAGGCTAAGGTACAACTACAACCAAGTCTTTTTTGAGATCACTAAACTAGCAAGTGGGTATGTCGCACAGTTTCACTAATGAAAAGGGTCATCATCACAGCAACATGCCAGCGACTGTTTTCATTGTAAATTACTCATTGCAGGAATTAATTTTGAACGTGGTATGCTTTGGGAGCAGCGAGATCGCTGAGCCAAATATTCATGCCGTGTGTCATTAAAAGAACCCACATGTTATTTGCTGCTTTGATTTACGTATTTTGTAGCATTGCAGTATAACTGTAGTCGGGAATTCAAATCAAATGAAATATTATTTAAATATTTATACAATGTTGAGGACAATGAACAAAAAGCCGGCACGGCATTGTGCTCGGCAAGCCTAAATGTGTACAATTGAATGCTTGCAGTCAATGACTATGAGAAGAGACGGACATACATATCATGCGTTCTTGCAACATGTTTTTAATGTATCTGCAATTTTTTATGCGTTTTCGTGAAAGAAGTTGTGTGACGTTGCTGCATTGTTCCCACAATCTTTTGATGGCAACAGTCAGCACAGGGTGCCCCTCATATGCGCTTGATCCAATCTAGTCTGTTGTGACTGTGATCACTGATATAGAAAAGGGTGTTTCCGTTGCCTAATTCATGTGACATTTAAAAAAAATGCAGCATTTTTCAATTGCCACCATGCATAATGTTGAAGCACGAGTAAGTACTTTGTGTTGTGGCAAACACAGCCCTGTCTTGCCTGGGTGCACTGGAATTAGTATGAATAAATTAAGTGTGTGATATGACAGCTTACCGCGTTCCTGTGCACTTCAAAAAAGGCCCACGACAGCGCTGCGCTGCTGCTGTCCTCTGAGCAGCACGTTGCGGGGTGTGAGCACATGGCTCTCTCCTGGCTCCTTATCGTCATCCTCAACTGGTGGCATGTCCCCAACATACTCATCCAAGGTCCAGTCCCCCGCGTCCAATGCAATGTTGTGGAGAGCAGCGCAGGCATAAATAATTCGCCCTGCTCGATCGGGGTTGTAGAGCATCGTTCGAAAGTGCTGCAAGCAGCGGAACTTGCTCTTCAACACTCCGATACATCTTTCCACAACATTGCGCATGGATGCGTGCTCCTTGTTGAATCGGCCTTTGGAGGTGTTGCCGGGTTGACTGCCAGGAACTGGAACGAGGAGCCATGGCTCGAGAGGATACCCTGCGTCTCCTGCAATAGAAAAATGGCGGCTGAGTGCTCTACCCCAGTTAGTTCACATTAATACTTACCAAGCAGATATTCGCCAGGCTGCAGCTGTGCAGCTAGGCGTGAACGCAAAGGGTTGTGTTCCCAAACCCAGGAGTCGTGGCACGAACCTGGGAATCGTGGGTCCACGACAAGGATGCGCAGCCGTGCGTTGCACACCTGTAATGAGTGATACAAAATAGTACTGCATCTATGCTCCAAACAAACCCCTTCTTTCTACACATAAGCCGGAAACAATGCATACTAGTACAGTCATTGGTACATGCAATTTCACCTAGAGGGGAACACAGGGACAGGGTGTAGCAACTGAGGAGGGAAGGGGGCAATGACCATTCCCCTGTACACATGGCTAGGACTTCCACTGAATGATCGATAAATGAAAACCTACGCCATGCTATTGGGAAAGAACACTCGTACATACCACAGCTAGCCTATGCAATTGTGGTTATAAGTACTTTCGTGTTTGAAATACTTCCCTATCGTGTGTATAATTCTGCTACGACTACAGCCCATATTCTTATTACCTTCAAAATGCTCAACTTCATTGTGCATGCATGCCAGAACGAAGACAAAAAATACGACAACTGGCTCACTTACACAAACACTTGCCACTTATGATAACCGAGGCCATGAGAGCCACCAACTAGCACGCACCCGTTTATCCGCATGTTCTCCCTTATTCTTTGAATTGGTACTTTTCCCAGCTCCGACGTCAAAACTGAACAGCTACTCCGATGGGCGAGTAAGAAAGGATCCGAACGGTACTTACGATCATGACGTTCAGGGCATAATAGCCCTTTCTGGACATGAAGCTCGCCGTGTCGGCGAGGCTGTATCCCTCTGGCTTGCGAATGGCGACCAACGTGCCGTCGACACACGCCAGCACGCCTGGGATGCAACCACGTCGTGCAAACTCCGCCTTCGCCTCATCCTTGGCAGCTGTGGTCAATGGGAAGTCCACCACCCTTTTTCTAGCAGCCACGGTAATGATCGCCTCCGTCACCTCGTGGATGGTGTTGCTCACCGCCGGCTGAGACATGCCGATGTGTTCCTCGCGACCAATGCTCAGCTGGAAGCTACCGGTAGCGAAAAATCGCAGCGCGCACAACACCTTTCTCTCTGTGGAAAGGCCACTGGCTCGCTGGCATCCGATGATAGGGTCAAGTTCGTCGCACAAGCTACGCACTGTTCGTTTGGACAGACGAAAACATTGCCGGAACTCTTCTTCGCTGAACTCTTCAAATGCATCTTTTACCTCGCGTTGTCGCCTCTGCTCGGTTGAAGCTACCGCACAGGCAAGGCGAAGTACCATGTCAGTGGGAAACGCCATGTTGTCTAAGTGCCCCGGTGCCGAAAAGTCGCGCATTTTTTCCATTTCAATCCAATCCAGGCCACCTTGCAGCCATTTCAATCCATCCGGTTGCTTTCGGACAGTCTCTCCGACCGTTCCATCGCCTTTCTCCGAAAACCGAAAATAAAGAGTCACGTGACACCCCAGTCCACGTCACTCATAACGTCACAGCATTCGTCACAGCTTGTATGGGCCAATCGCGTGCGACTCAATGGAAGAGACCGCCTTTGTCCGGATTTGGAACTTTTACATAATTGCGCCACTGATCGAAGCAGACGACAAATGCGAGCAGACCACGGCTTGGCCGGCAGGCACAGCTTGTGATTGGTTGTGAAGCAATACCCTCTACATCAGCTCACTCCAAGACGTTGCCAAAACACTTCTTTCATCTGGCACGCCTGTCCTGTTCGTCATAACACTCCCCTCACACATAAGAGCAAATTTTGTCACGCCGTAAAAATAGTGCAAGTATTTTCTAACAGCTCTCTTACGTGCTGCGCAGTTGTCGAAAAGAACATGGCGTCGTAAACAGCATATCCGTTGGTGCGACTTTCAGCAAACGCTTCTCGCATGAGTTACTTCAGCGTTCGACCAGATGCGTTGTGATTACGGCAGCTCTTTCGGTGCGTGTAAGCAGTGCGGAAAGCTGCGGCAATGCAATGGTGTACGGTGAAGCGCAGCGAAGCCTGTGCGTCGGTGTGATTATCAAGCGGGGATCGGCGTCAGTGTATCGACGGCAACTAGCACTCGAGAAGCCTGCAATGTGTGTTTGTGTGCCGGTAACAGTTCGTTCGCTTTGCTGTGCAGTTTCTCAGTTGGGTGTGGTGCGACATTTCAGATTAAACAGCGTTTTGACACGTTACTTGAGTGACCCCAAGTACGTACGGAAACGTATGAACTACGCGCTGTGTTCGGTTCTTGCTTCGCCACTGGTTAGCCCGCACGCTTCTATTTTCTTGAGAGCAATCTAGTGTTCGGGAGGGAAACGATGTTCGTTGTGAACAGTGGTGCTGTGTTAGACTTGCAAAGAAGCTGTGCTCGTGTGACCGAAAATTGAAAGACAGCGTTCATAACTGTTTTGTCCTGCGACGTTGTGGTGGTGCAGCTTGGCGATTTTGTTTGTTAACTCGTCACTTCTCCTTTTTGTGATAACCATAGTCCTAGCGCTGTGATGTGATGAACCAAAGCTGCGAGATGCTACATTCTTTAGTGGATCGTGTTACTTTGGCCGCGCACCTAGACTGTTCTTCGCTAAGAACTTGAGAGTTCTATGTGGCAGCGAGAGCCCGTGACCGTCAAGTCTCCCTCCGGCCCCCAGAAAAAGCAAATATTTCATGGGTGCTTTGCTTTGGATGAAGTTGTAGGCCAATATCGCCTAACTACAGGTTTCCGAGTTCGTCTGGCCATTGTTTTGCACGGCACTAGAGCCTTGAAAACAGCGGGTCATGGCCAGTTCTTACACTTTATGAATGGACGTGCACGCCTGGCCAGCCCTTCATTGCTGTCATCGGCAGCTTCCAGCCTGCAGATGCCCTTTGCCTGTTGGCCATAGAGCACACTTGGTTCCTCATGACACCTACGGCTACTAAATGCTGACATTGGTGAGTTCACCTTGCAGAACTAAATTTCACCGGTACTATAATTCACGCAGTACTATAACGTGTGCAAGTTTTTAAGCCCATCACATCTAATGTTTCCCTTTGGTAAGTTGAAGCATGACAAATGTACTACTACTGTTATATACATGCATACATTATGGAGCAAATACATCAGAAGTTTTGTGTGATTTGATACAAGTGAGCTTTTGTTTGATTATGAGGTTGGACCTGTCGATTTACCACGTTTTATAGTTGGAAAGTTAATGTGAATTTATTTTTCAGGAGCCAGGTTGCGCTTAAGAAATTTATGTTATTTTGGAAAATTAGTTCTTTAGACGATTATTACTGTGGTAGTACTGTACTTCTCTGGGACATACATATTGCGGTACGTAAACTTTACATGAGGCTTCAGTTCATTCCAAAATGATTACAGCAGATTTTGGTCACTTTAATGAAGTGATAGCACCGTGAAAGAAGTATTGAAAGTGAGTGCTTTTAATGATTTTTTTAAATATCTCGTTTTTGGCTCTTCACAGATCGCAGTGATTGGCTTGTTAAGGTCCTGTGATGCATCAGTTGCACACACTGGCACATCAATCCTCATCATGACTTGGAGCACCTGTACAAATATAGGAAGGACACATGCTCCCTAACTGTGCAAGTCTATATCACTGCTGGGACTGTTATCATTCGGCGGATCTGGATGTGGCCTGGAAGCATGCATGTCAGCCTCATCTGGAAAGACTGCGATCTGCTTGGGAGCTTCGAGGGCACAACACTGCCTAACGGCTGGCTGCAAGGTTCGTTTTTCTATAATACATACGATTTAGTGAACACCACTTAGTGTTCACAAATCGAAAACCCAAGCATGGTTGCTTGCAGTGGATACCTGTATTACTCTCACACTTAATTCTTATTCAACATGTATAAAACTAAATAGCAAGGTAATCGAGAATGTTGAAAAATGAAAGCCTGCAGCTTATGAATGAAACTTCAATCATCTGAGACTCAGAAGCTTGTGCTTTTAAACGAGCAGAAATACTTTCATTCTATATTGAGCTCTCGAGCCTGTGACTCCCTCTGTGGATCAAGTGCTCTGGAAGGAAATAGCAAGTGGGTGAAAATCGCCTGGCTGTTCACAGCTTGCAAGGAGAAAGACCTGTTGAACAATCCTCAGACGACATAGGGCCAGTAACTACATCTTTTACTTCATGTAGCTTTTTCTCTCTCGGTGCTGTGGCTTGTTGCGTTTCTGCCGAACAACGTGTTCACCACGATTGCATAGTGATATATATTTTTCTAAAAATTGTACCTGACCAAAGTATGCATTATTGAACTCTAAGGGTGACGTTCAGTGTGTTTCAAAGTCATGGCTCCTCATCTCTCTGTCTGTGGCTAGCCTACCTCAGCAGCAGTGCGATGCAGCCAGCACACATGCAAGCCAAGTCATGGAGTGCTCCTTTGGTGTTCTGTGCAGGACGCAGATATCCATCCGGCAAGACACTGGTATCCACAATAATGGTGAATGTTGGTGGCACCTGTAGGAGCCTGTTGTGTTTGTTGCGCATGATTATTTCCCCTGATGAAGTGCATTTTTGAAAGGTTTTCTTGTTTTAGAATATTAAGTGTCAGCAACAAGCACACTCATAATCCACAAGTGCTTTGTGTATTCGAGACTGCCCATTTGCTCCTATACGCGGTATGGTGAGCTGGCTATGTTAGACAGCCTTAAAGTTTTGAACATTGGCTGTTCTGTTGTAATGCAGCCTAACTTGTGTTCCTTAGTGAATTTATTTTTGGTCGGCTTCTCGCACCTAGTGTGAAGTCCTAATAGAAGAAATTTTATTGGCTTTTTTGGCCTAGCAGAAGTTTCATGCCTTCATCTATAACATTTTAGTTTTGCTCTTGTATAATAATAAAATATATTTTCAGTCTTCACTGTTTGTGTGTGTGTCTCGAGGCTTGTCATTGGCTTCTGAAAATACGACATCTGTAAATATGATTGCAACACGATCCAATCGCCCGATGAAAGTCGCTGAATTTTCGTGTAAAACAAACGTCTTCAAAAATTCCTTTTTTTCCCCGTACGTGCCATGAGTGGAATCTGTTACCTGCTAATGTTGTGCAATGTTCTGATGTCTCGTCCTTTCTTTGTGCCCTGTTGAATTCGGCATGATTTAGTCTTCAATAGTAGTTGTTATCCTACCGATTGCACTTGTACAGTATATTCCGGTTCCGGTTGTTTTTTTTTCTCCGGTTCAAAGTGTACCCTTAGAAGTGTATTGTTATGCTTGTATGTTATCCTGTTTTCTTCTTTTGTATCGCCCACACCTGCTCAAAGCCTGGCACCCAGGCTAGCAGTAACCTGTAAATAAATAAATAAATAAATAAATATTAGCACATATTTAACAACTCTATACACTCTTGCATGTAGCATGGTTGTAACAATGATCTGGATTTTTTTGAGTTCCAGCAGTAACAAGGGATCCGGTGCTCCACGGTCAAGTACAGTGTAGCAATAACAGAGCAAAGAAGACCAAGAAGTATAAAGGGACTGCCAGTGACTGTTCTCCTGCTCAAATTTTACGACAGCAGAAAGAGCACATTGTGATGTCAGGAGCAGTTTGAATTGTATACGTAGTAACATTCTGCGCAGCTGCAGCTTAACTTCTTAGCAGTGCATTATTCATCAGTGGCTTTGCTTGCATTCCAAAATATTTATTTTTGCATGGAATATACCAAACTATGACACAAATTTAAATGCTGTTGTAGTGTTAGTGGACAAATTTTTTTGAGGTGAAGTTTTTAACATGCTTGTTAAGTGCCCGCTTGTCTCTGCATTTACCTGTCATAAATCAC